AAACCAAAATCAGCAGTATACGTAGCTTTAATTTTTCCTCTTGACTATAATAAGAATATTTTAGTCATTGATAAATCTCTAATTATGATTTTTGCCTAACTATAGGTTTGTTGAAAGTGTAGGTTTGAATTTGAATTTTAGTATTTTGACAAGATTTAATTGATATTTTTCTTTATAAATAATCTTGATCTTTTATAGTCCTTTTTTCTTAAAAATTCAAGTTTAAAAATTACTTACCTAAAAAAAATAAACAAATAAAAAGGCAGTTGCCTAAATAAAAAATAAACAAGTTCTCCGGAAAATAAACACTTCGTTCATATCAATACCCGGCTCTGCTTGCCTCTTTTAAAATCGAAACAAAATAAGAATATTATTCAGAAATTAGTAATAAAAAAGTGATCAGGATTCTGAATTTTCGTCCAGCAGAACCAATCTGAAGAAAATTGTCGTCTTCCTAACGGGACGAACGCCAGGTTCTCAATTGAAGTCTTGGTTGAAGGATCTGAACTTCTGAATCCAACTGAAGATGTCATTTTGCAGAGCTCCTTCGCGGTATGTCTTCTCCCAGTTTCCTTTGTTCCCTAGGGCATCTACGTCTCCCTTCCTTCTTTCTCTCCACTTCTGTTCCCATTCCAATCCCGCAAATCCTCAGAATATCGAAGAGGCTCTCTCTTCTTTTAATCGCTTGCTTTATTTACGCCCTCCACCCTCTATAATACAAATTAATAAGATATTAGGATCTGTGGCAAAGTTGAAACATCATCGAACTGTTATCTCCCTTTTCGCACAAGCGGAGTCTCAGGGATTCACGCCGTCTGTGGTAACACTCAGCATTTTGATTAATTGTTACTGCCATTTGGGTCAAATGACTTTTGCTTTCTCTGCCTTAGGCAAGATTCTTAAGATGGGCTATCAGCCAAGTACGATTACTTTGACCACACTAATGAAGGGCTTTTGCATCAATAATGACGTTGGAAAAGCCTTGGATTTTCATGATGATGTGATAGCAAAGGGTTTTCAGTTAAATGCAGTTAGCTACGGAACACTGATCAATGGACTATGCAAGATTGGGAAAACTAGAGCTGCGGTTAAGTTGCTCCAGAAAATGGCGAGAGGGCTGATTAAGCCTGATTTAGTCATGTATAATGCAATTGTTGATGGCTTTTGCAGAGAAGGTCTCATATCTAAAGCCTGTGATTTATTTCATGAGATGATTAATCATGGAATATCTCCTGATGTTGTGACCTATAACTCTTTGATATATGGTTTTTGTGTCATGGATAAAGGGCCAGAAGCTGCAAGATTGTTTAATCAAATGAGACTTGAAGGCATCAACGCTGATGTTCGTACTTTTAATATATTGGTTGATGCATTTTGTAATGATGGAAGTGTCACCAAAGCTGAAGCCGTAGTTGCCATGATGTTGAAGAGCCGCAAAAGTGCTGATGTTGTAACTTATAACACTTTAATGAAAGGGTACTCTTTGATTAATAATGTTAGAGAGTCACAAACACTATTCAACAAGATGGTCAAGAGTGGTTTGACTCCTAGTATTTTTAGTTATAACATTTTGATTAATGGACTTTGTAAAATCAAGATGGTGGATGAGGCCATGAATCTCTTTAAAGAAATGCGCTGTAAATGCTTTATTCCTGACATTTTCACTTACAATTCCCTTGTAGACGGTTTGTTCAAGTCAGGTAGAATCTCTGATGTGCAAGATATTATCTATGAGATGCATGATAGAGGTTGTGCCCCAAATATAGTATTTTATAGTACCTTGTTAGATGGATTGTGCAAAAGTCACCATCTTGACCAGGCAATTTCATTATTCAGGCAAATTGTTAACCAAGGAATTCAGCCTGATATTTACACATATACCATACTTATTGATGGTTTGTGCCAGGGTAACAAATTAAATGATGCACGACAGATTTTCCAACATCTTTTGGTTAGTGGTCATCCTTTGAATGTCCAAGCATATACTGCTATGATCAAAGGACTTTGTAAAGAGTGTTTGTATGACGAAGCGAAGGCTTTGCTTTATAAAATGCAAGAGAATGGATGCTCGCCTGATTTTGTAACTTTTGAAACACTCATTATACCTCTTTTGGAAAAAAGTGACAATGACGAGGCCAAGAATCTTGTTGGCGAAATTATTCACTGGAGGTCTAATGAAATGATAAAAGAAGGTTAGTCACTCTGCTCCAAATTTTATGTGATACTTGTGTTGATGGAAAAAGGTGACAAATGCACTGACTATATTTATTTTTTACTTCTGTTGTTTTGTTTTGTATTTTTGGCTTGATATGAGTTTGATACAAAACACAGACTTGTTCCTATGGAGATAGAGAAGATTTAGGTGAGAATTGAACGTTGGAGAGGAGGGCATAGGAAGAGTAAATCCTTCAGGTTTCATTAGATGGGCATAGTAAGGTTCCTAAAATGATGCCTATTTATTGTGGAGCATGAGTATATTACTTCCCCTGTTGCAGTGTTTGATATTGTAAAAGCATATTCTAGAGTTTATGTTTCTTGAGTAAAATGGAGATTGTTTCTGTGCCTGTACCTGATGAAATTTATGAGCAAAGACGCTATTATATTGGACGTGGGTTTTGTTATTGAGTCACGCATAACAATTGGCTGTAGAATTTTGTAAGTGGTTATTTGTAGTGGTGTCTATTCATTGATCACTTGATGAAGCACTGGCTGCTTTTGTTTTTGGCTTTGCTTGTTGGGATGAGAAAAAAGATCGATAATGGAATAATTAGAGATGAGGACATATTAAGAGAAATCCTATCATGTAAGGAAAATTATAAATAAAAAAAAATATTGAATTTGATATAAATGAAATTTAATTATAAGTTATATAGTAGGATGTGAATATATTAGGATGTTTAGAGGATATTTAGATAAGCTCATGGTATTAAGATTTATTTTCATTAAGATTTTTACTTATAAGTAAAGTTTCTATGCTCCTTTGTAACTCACTTTTGTGATTTGATTAGAAGTTATTTAGTTTCTCTCAGCTTCACTATAATTGAACCTTTGAAAACTTAACTTGCAGAGTTTTTCATTTATTTAGTTCTTTACTTCCAAATATTCATATGTCATGTTTTTATTGGAGAACTTGACAACAAACAAAAATGCTGCAACTCAAATGAGGCTTTCTTCCTATCCTTCTTAGAATCCCGTCCCACAAGTCACACTCATGTTGTGAAAATAGCAACAACAAAAAAAATCCATAATCAAACTAAACTATCAAACAGAAATAGAATGGGCTAAAAATCTAAGACCCAAATGTTTCATTTTGTATTGAAAAACTAGTTAGTCGGTTTTTGTGAATCCAATTCATAGAAATTCCGTCTAGTAAAATGGAAGAATTATAAATTTTTAGAATAATAGATAGAAATATTACAAATAGAGCAATTGCAAAACCTATCAAAGGAATAGTTTCCCAATCAATAACTATTTTACCATATTCCGAATTCAAAGATTTTAATAAATTCCCTGTAATAATTCGTTTCGGATCAGATCTAAATTGGTTCTAGTGGAGAAGAAAAAAAGGGGTTAAATTAAAAATCTTTTCTGGAGCAAGAAAATTATATTCTTTGGTTTGATTCTTGCGCTAGAGTAGAATCATGGTGACTTAGAGAAATGTTTTTGTGATCAGTTTATTATAAAATTGACATCTTATCTTACATTAATATTATGTGTTGAATGAAATTTGGGTCTCAGGTTGGCAATCTCCTTCTTAAAGACCAAATTATCTGAGTAGATTTAGTGTCATTGATTTTATATATTACTGGATTTTGTATAGTTAGTTATTTGAAGATTCATACAATGTCGGATATTGAAAATACATATATCAAATATGTGAATTTATATAGAAAAATAGAATAAAAAATAAAATTGCCCCATTTGAAATGAAATTAGACTATACGTGTTATAAATAGTCATGACATTTTTCATAATCCCTTTTTCATGATCAAGATTCAATTTCAAACATTGCTGAAGTGAAATAGAGAAATGGAAGAAGGCATTTGCCCCAGTTAAAGAAAGTGAGAGAATGTGGTGCGTTAGTAGATATGAGAGAGAGAGACTAAATATAATGAGCTAGATGAATTTTATAAAATGTTATGAATTACTCATTCGGTCCTAAATATAAGACTCTTATATTAATATAAGACCCTTATACATACTAGTATAAGAGTCTTATATTTAGAATCGGAGGAGTATTATTATATTTTCCTTGAAACCTAAAAAATGGACTTTCCTTTAGCTCAAAAGAACAATGGACTTGCTAATTTATTCATTTAGACGCAAGAATTGAAATAGGTTGCGAAAACAAATGGTTTTTTGGGCAACTAAAACGAAACTTTTGGATCATGGACAAAAACTAATTAATCTTGATCAATACATCAATCAATGTCAATGTACATAATAAAATTTATAACAAAGTATATTATTTTTTGGCCATGAAAATATTATCAATAAATCATACTATTTTATAATTTCATACAATACGTTTTAAAAAACATCATCCATCGATAACATCCCACATCCCGGTACGTTATAATAATGTACCCATCCTTTTTATGATATAAATAACTGAATTATATCCTTGAAAATTCATAAAATCATAACTTTTCTTTTAAACACAACAATGAAGGGAAAGTGAGTCAGTTGATAACTAATATAATGAGACTAACCGATACTTAATGAGGATAAGAATAAAAAATATAATAAAAATTTTAAATAGATTATTAACATTTCTTCAACTTGTAACTTTTTTGGGAGAAATTTATATATAAGACCTGAAGAATTAATTAATTACAGGCGTAGAACAAGAACAATAGTCGGGACAATTCTAGTAGGGGTAGTAACGACAATTGACCACCTGCGTTTATTATGGCAATAGGAGTGGCCTTTTCCCTCTCGGAAAGAAAATAAACGCTTCTTGCATTTTCTGGAACACTCGAGGACCTTCATTGGCTGATCCCCACTTCGTAATTTATCCTTCGACACATTATTTCTTGTTGTCTTGTGATAAAAGCTTTGGTCTTTCTTCTTCTTGCTCATCTTCGCTGCTTTCACGCCCACATTTACATCCTCAAAAGATGAGGTTAGCATGCAAATCCCAGTACCAGCATTGCTTGCTTGCTTGCTTCCATATCTTCCTTTACTTTTTCCATTTTGTCTTTGACATGAGTGATGGTAATTCTGCTAATGCCAAGAACAAAACGGCATTTTTATTCATTTGTTTATTTGCATATTTATATATGAATGCTCGTGGTCAATCTGATTCATAGGTATGGGAGTCTGATTCTTATTCCCTAGTTTCCAGTATTTGCTTGTTCACATGCACTATAGTGGGTACATTTTTTTTGGGAAGCAAAAGGAAAAAGATGTCTGTTACTGGCATCCTTTTCATTTCGCTGCGTTAGAAATTCATTTGAGACTTTTGTTTTCCGGTTCCTTTCATATCAAGTTTGGCATTGGGGCCTATTCCATGCAGTCTAGTGGCTAATAACTCTCAGTTATTGGGTTCCCTCTGATTGTAGGCAATGATATTATAAATACATTGTTTCCGTAGGAAGATTTAGATCAGAAGCATAATAGGCACACTTTTTGACTTGGTCCTTGAGATATTACACGTTTATTTCCATTTATGATCTATGATTATTGTGATCTATCTAGCTTTGATGCAGTTGGTCTTTTTGTCTTTGTTTTATTGTATCAACAATTGAATGCTGAGGAACTAAACTATAATCATGGGTGTTGGTGGGAGCTTGAAACTTGTTTGAAATCTAGAGAATGAGGGCCTTGTCAGTGTTTCTAATTAATTTTTGTGGTCGAACCTCCATTAATCCAGAGTTAAATTTTAACCTACATCCTGCTAATTGATGAATATTCTTTCTTTTATAGCCGACACCCGATTGTGAAGTGGGCTCAGAGATCAGACAAGGTGTATGTGACTGTTGATTTGCCTGATGCTAAAGACGTAAAGCTCAAGCTGGAACCAGATGGAAGATTTAATTTCTCTGCACACAAAGACGAAATTCCCTATGAAGTTGACCTGGATCTATTTGATAAGGTCAATGTTGAGGTACAAATGATCAATTCTCCAGAGTACTTCAGAATTTGACCCCTTTTAGCTACAAATTGATGGTTGATGGCATTTTGCAGGAGAGCAAATACAATATTGGTGTAAGAAACATAGTTTATGTTATAAAGAAAGCAGAGAAGGAATGGTGGGATAGGTTGATCAAGCAGGAAGGAAAGCCTCCTGTGTTCGTCAAAGTTGATTGGGATAAATGGGTTGATGAAGAAGAAGAAAACGGTAGGCATTGTAATTATGACTTTGTGTTAATTTATTGTTGTGTTACATGTGGTTCAGTATAGTGATATAGTTCCTTGAATTTACAGAGAGAGCAGGAATGGACTTTGATGACATGGATTTCTCGGTAAGTTCAAAGTTTTCTAACACAGGGAACAAGTTGTAAATAATTTCATTAACTTAAGCTATGAACAAGTCCAGTGATTTTGGGGACAATGTGCAATAAGACTACTGCCAAATGGAAGGTTGACTTTTAGGTGGTTATACTGTTCTATTGAATGTATGTTTTCTTGTGGAGGGTCATTTTGCTGTAACCCCAAATGTTATTAGCCCTGTAAGAGTACAATGGAGGATCAGTTATGTACTTTAAAGTAGCTTTATGTGGGACAAGGACCTTTGCGAAGGCTAGTTAGTGTTCTCAGGATATGTTAACCGGGAATCCAAACAAGAGCTTGGTTTAAATTTTAGAATATAAGTCAAGAGGCCTCTTAACTTTGCTTGATAATGGCTACATCATCTGAGTTTTATGTGGGATGTTAATAGCTTTGGAAAGTTGTGTGTTTTTAGTCTTTCCAAAACTCCTTTTGAATTTGTTGCTAACTGAAAGCATATTGTGCAGAAATTAGACATGGGTGGGGATGATTTTGATATGGATGATTCCAAGGAAGAGGAAGGTTAGAGCTTTTGTGAACTTTCTACATAACTTGTGAAGGAAATTTTCTGCCAAAACTTTTTAAATTTCCATGGGGGGCTGAGTTACCTAGTGACTTACCATGCCTGCTTGTTGTAGAAGAACTTGTTAAGATATGGTTTTTGTAATTCTTAACATTGGAGTACTTTCTGATTCACACTGTACAGAAGAAATCGAAACGAAAGAAGAGGACAGGCAGAAAGAGGCAGGAGAAACGGCTGCACCGGTGGCTGAGGAAGCTAAGGCTTGACTGCCTTGGAAAGACAGAAAGTTGAGACTCTTATCGTTGACAAGAGCTGTGTGAAAGTGAGGTTTTCTAAACTCAAAATTGCTGAAATTGTGTGCCGTTTTCTTAGGTCTGGGCATTCTCAAATTGTGTCTTGTCTTAGTTAGGTACAGGCATTTTCGCATCAGCTTGTATGCTATGCCTTCCGAAGCAGGTCCTAACATTAAGGACCCGTTCTGTTTAAAAAAACACTTTCTAGGGTCATGATATTATGATATATCTTGTTTAGCCTGTAAACTCTTCTCTCTGTTTTTTTTTTTAAACTGGGAAATTTGTATTAAGTTTGCAGCCTTTTGGAAACAAACATCATGTTGTGGTGAATGGACTCAACGAATTCCCCATCTATGAAAAATGAAAAGGCAAAAAAAAAAAAAAAAAAAGGTTGATTCAAACTGAGCTTATTATAAAGTTGAAGATGAAGAATTGAAAAATGGAAAAGAAGCTTTATTGCCCGAAATATTTGAGTTTTTCAGGTGTTCAGTAATTTATGTATGAGCTTGCCTATGACAAATATGAAAATACTTGATGCTGTACCTAAAAAAATTTAGATTGTTGCTCGATCTGCAAATCTCTATCTTTTGGAGTATTATTTTGGGAGGAGTTTTTCTTTTTCTTGCTTGGGAGCATGACAAAAAGCCCCTAGAAATTAATAAATTTCAAATTTGGCTTATTTTTTTTATACTTCGACAGATTTTGATTGAAAAGGCGAATTTATTTATTATGATATCAAAAAAGAGAAATATAACAAAATGTCCGTATAAAATGATGCGAAAATAATCATACTCTTAGTAACTTCAATGTTGACTGTTTCAATAAAAAATTTGATGAAAAAATGCTGATATAGCTTCCCATGTGGAATAATACCCTAACTGAAAATAGCAACAACAAAAAAAATATTTGCCTTTGCACCATTATCCAACCAAGCTGCCTTGTTTGTTCAAGTCCCGATCATTTTGGGACGGGATGGGAGGGGAAAAAAAAAATTTGTGAAACAGGACAAGAAAAACAGAAACCCCAAAATCTTGTCCACTAAATTTTCAAAAGCCCAAACTTATCGATATTTATTTTTTTATTGCAAAGCCTGCCCAGCATTAATGTTAGCCCCCAAAAAAAGAAGAATAAATGTTAAGCACTTTTCAATATAGGCCCAATCCAAAAACTAAATTTTTTTCTCAAAAAAAAGACAGGACATCCCGAGATATGAGACAAAATTCCCCTCCTGTTATTGTTCATCAGGATAGGACAGGGATGTGGTCACATGAACATCCTGAATTATTGATCTCATCTAAATCAAACTCAAGTAATCATTCATAGTCTATATCACAAAGTACAAGCCTTTGAAAATGATGAGAAAGTGTCTATTTAATAAAAAAAAAATCTAGATGTTTCGAATCACAAATCGAATCAATCAGAAGAACATGGATGACTTCAAAAATTTGATTCAATATAATGAGTTTCATTAATGCAATGACCAAGTCGGTTCAATCATAAACATCCATCAGCTAGCGCCAAAATACATACATAGACGATACATTGGATTCATCACAAATGTTACCGACTCACCACGATTTCACTGCTACACAGGAAAGCATATGGCTCTTGCTCTTTCCATTCCCCTCTGGCTAGGTTTCTTTCTCCATTCCTCTGAGAGGGGCCTCAGAAGGCACGAGAGCAGAGAGACAATATATTGAATCATGTTAATTAGCCAGCAACATCACCTTCAGAAAAATCATCTCAAGGCTGATGGCTGCTTTATCACTACATGCTTAAGCAACATGTTATTGATGTGATGGGGTTTTCTTCTTCTCAGCCAGGAATGGTTTGAACATCATGAGCAGTCCCAGTGCTTCTACTAGGTTCAGCACAAAAAACACTAAATGTGTACTTGCAGTTCAATGCCCATCACTTAGTGAGCTTCTAGAATTGCAACTGCTGAGCTACTGAGATGCAACAGTACATGAAGCAGAATGCATAACAAAAAGATTAGCTGACCTGGAAGGAAGGAAGCATTTAATCGCTTCTGCGACCAGGATAATCTGCGTCGACCAACATCATAATTAGTAAACCGCAGATAGGTTTCAAAGTATTACATGTTATAGAAAATGCATGCTAAGCAGTGCGCTCATGTTAGGAAGCATATTATATAGACTAGAACATAAACTTGCATGGATAGCCTTTACAGGTGGGATGTGTATTAGTTCTTTAGACTAAGGCCCACAACACAAGTACATCAGTTTTGGAGAACACATGACAACCTCAAATTAAACGAGACTTTGTTCTACGTTTCCTTCAAAGAACAGAAGGGTAGTTTGTTATACTTTAGATGTTTGTGCGCTAAAGTCATCGTTAGGCCCTTGATGGAAGATTTGAAATGCACTTTCTCCTTTTCATTAGAGCACTTAAAAGTCTCCAAGGAATTGCTCCTTTTATATCTCTAAGCAATTTTTGGTTTTTTTTTTGGGTTAAAAAATGATATTCCAAAATGGAAACATGAAAAAAGAATCAAATGTGCACTTACATTGCACCACCTCCAGCAGGGCCAACTGCTTTGAAAAGTGACATAGCAATCATGACAATACCATTAGCTGCTCCCCTTTGGTGTTGTTCTTGTTTGTCCCAATCAACATGCCATGTTAACCCAACCCAATCATGATAACCTCAAACTACTGTAAGGAAAGAGAAAAGTAAAATGAAACAATGAACTGAACTTAAAAAGAATTTACCACTGCTCTGTTTTCCAAAAGGAATAAACCCGCATCAATTATTGTCAGGCAAAGAAAGATTCACAAACAGGAAGATCATTATGTAGATATACACTTCGTGAAGGAAATAATTAATTGTCTTATGAAGGGTGAGCACTTGAAAAAGGGAGTTGTGTCCTGGTCAGACTGTTAGACACTTGTATTAGACACTGTATGATATTATATAGTACTTTAAATTATATATGAGCAACTAGAATTTACTATGTCTCCATATTTGTGTTAATGTTCATGCAACCTACATTTCAACAAGGAAATTCAGCAAATTGCGTTTACTTTTGTTAGAAAAGCATTACCATCCATATATAATAGATTGAATGATCCCTAAAAAAAAATGTTATACCAGTCATTTTACTTCAACTTAATCCCTCAATGTTACCATTGTGGTTGGTAAAATCAAGAAACAAATGCACTTACTGGAAAACATAACATAAAGACAGAAGCAATAGTTATCAGCAGGTGCAGTGCGAAGCCAGACAACATCGCTATGAAAGGGTAACTTTACAAGAGAGGTATGGATAAACCCTGCACACGGTATCCAAATAATGGTACAGATTTAAAAACAACTGATCGTGAAAATACTGAATCATAATAATTATAGCATGAAAGTGAAAGCTAACCGCTGCAATGCGAGCAAGATTAATAGGTCCAAATGCTTTCTCCAAAGGTGGATAAAGGAAGATTTGGCTGAGTAAAAGAGCAAATCCTAACCAGAGCGAAGTTCAGAGCTAATCAGCATAATCTCCTTTCACTGTTGTGGTTGATCATTTTTTAAGTAATGTGCTGAAACTATTATTGGTTTGATAATAAAAAGCAATATGAAACCTAATAAAATCACGCACAACGTTTTGATGAATTATTAGTATTTGATTAATGATGTTGATGAGGACGCTAAATTAAAAAAACTGAAAGTAAGTTCAACAATTCTAGAATTAATTGGCCTAAAGCTAATTAAAGTAAAGTGAAAAAATTATAGAATATTATTTTCAGGGCTTTGAAATTCTATGGTATTAGAATGTTATTTCAATCTAGAACATTCTCTCTGATAGCATAAAGGTAACACCTAACTTTTTAAGAATATTATAGAATATTCTGTAAGAGAATAAAACTTAAAGGCATCGACCCTAACGTCCACACATACACCGTTGTGGTTGATGCCTTTTATAAGGAATGTGCTGAAACTGTTATTGGTTTAATAATAAAAAGCAATATGAAGCCTAATAAAATTACGCACAGTGTTTTGATGAATTATTAATATTTGATCGATGATGTTGATGATGACGCTAAATTAAAAAAACTGAAAGTAAGTTCGACAATTCTAGAATTAATTGGCCTAAAGCTAATCAAAGTAAAGTGAAAAAATTATAGAATATTATTTTCAGGGCTTTGAAATTCTATGGTATTAGAATGTTATTTCAATCTAGAACATTCTCTCTGATAGCATAAAGGTAACACCTAATTTTTTAAGAATATTATAGAATATTCTGTAAGAGAATAAAACTTAAAGGCATCGACCCTAACGTCCACACATACACCGTTGTGGTTGATGCCTTTTATAAGGAATGTGCTAAAACTGTTATTGGTTTAATAATAAAAAGCAATATGAAGCCTAATAAAATTACGCACAGTGTTTTGATGAATTATTAGTATTTGATCGATGATGTTGATGATGACGCTAAATTAAAAAAACTGAAAGTAAGTTCGACAATTCTAGAATTAATTGGCCTAAAGATAATTAAAGTAAAATGAAAAAAATTATAGAATATTATTTTCAGGGCTTTGAAATTCTATGGTATCAGAGTATTAGTTCAATCTAGAACATTCCCTCTGATAGCATAATGGTAACACCTAATTTTTTTAGAATATTATAAAATATTCTGTAAGAGAATAAAACTTAAAGGCATCGACCCTAACGTCCACACATACACCGTTGTGGTTGATGCCTTTTATAAGGAATGTGCTGAAATTATTATTGGTTTGATAATAAAAAGCAATATGAAGTCTAATAAAATTACGCACAACGTTTTGATAAATTATTAGTATTTGATCGATGATGTTGATGATGACGCTAAATTAAAAAAACTGAAAGTAAGTTCAACAATTCTAGAATTAATTGGCCTAAAGCTAATTAAATTAAAGTGAAAAAAATTATAGAATATTATTTTCAGGGCTTTGAAATTTATGGTATCAGAATATTATTTCAATCTAGAACATTCTCTCTGATAGCATAAAGGTAACACCTAATTTTTTAAGAATATTATAGAATATTCTGTAAGAGAATAAAACTTAAAGGCATCGACCCTAACGTCCACACATACACCGTTGTGGTTGATGCCTTTTATAAGGAATGTGCTAAAACTGTTATTGGTTTAATAATAAAAAGCAATATGAAACCTAATAAAATCACGCACAATGTTTTGATGAATTATTAGTATTTGATTAATGATGTTGATGAGGACGCTAAATTAAAAAAACTGAAAGTAAGTTCCACAATTCTAGAATTAATTGGCCTAAAGCTAATTAAAGTAAAGTGAAAAAATTATAGAATATTATTTTCAGGGCTTTGAAATTCTATGGTATTAGAATGTTATTTCAATCTAGAACATTCTCTCTGATAGCATAAAGGTAACACCTAACTTTTTAAGAATATTATAGAATATTCTGTAAGAGAATAAAACTTAAAGGCATCGACCCTAACGACCACACATACACCGTTGTGGTTGATGCCTTTTATAAGGAATGTGCTGAAACTGTTATTGGTTTAATAATAAAAAGCAATATGAAGCCTAATAAAATTACGCACAGTGTTTTGATGAATTATTAATATTTGATCGATGATGTTGATGATGACGCTAAATTAAAAAAACTGAAAGTAAGTTCGACAATTCTAGAATTAATTGGCCTAAAGCTAATCAAAGTAAAATGAAAAAAATTATAGAATATTATTTTCAAGGCTTTGAAATTCTATTGTATCAGAGTCTTAGTTCAATCTAGAACATTCCCTCTGATAGCATAATGATAACACCTAATTTTTTTAGAATATTATAGAATATTCTGTAAGAGAATAAAACTTAAAGGCATCGACCCTAACGTCCACACATACACCGTTGTGGTTGATGCCCTTTATAAGGAATGTGCTGAAATTATTATTGGTTTGATAATAAAAAGCAATATGAAGCCTAATAAAATTACGCACAACGTTTTGATGAATTATTAGTATTTGATTAATGATGTTGATGAGGACGCTAAATTAAAAAAACTGAGAGTAAGTTCAATAATTCTAGAATTAATTGGCTTAAAGCTAATTAAAGTAAAGTGAAAAAATTATAGAATATTATTTTCAGGGCTTTGAAATTCTATGGTATGAGAATGTTATTTCAATCTAGAACATTCTCTCTGATAGTATAAAGGTAACACCTAATTTTTTTTAGAATATTATAGAATATTCTGTAAGAGAATAAAACTTAAAGGCATCGACCCTAACGTCCACACATACACCGTTGTGGTTGATGCCTTTTATAAGGAATGTGCTAAAATTATTATTGGTTTGATAATAAAAAGCAATATGAAGCCTAATAAAATTACGCACAACGTTTTGATGAATTATTAGTATTTGATTAATGATGTTGATGAGGACGCTAAATTAAAAAAACTGAGAGTAAGTTCAACAATTCTAGAATTAATTGGCCTAAAGCTAATTAAAGTAAAGTGAAAAAATTATAGAATATTATTTTCAGGGCTTTGAAATTCTATGGTATGAGAATGTTATTTCAATCTAGAACATTCTCTCTGATAGCATAAAGGTAACACCTAATTTTTTAGAATATTATAGAATATTCTGTAAGAGAATAAAACTTAAAGGCATCGACCCTAACGTCCACACATACACCGTTGTGGTTGATGCCTTTTATAAGGAATGTGCTGAAATTATTATTGGTTTGATAATAAAAAGCAATATGAAGCCTAATAAAATTACGCACAGTGTTTTGATGAATTATTAGTATTTGATCGATAATGTTGATAATGACGCTAAATTAAAAAAACTGAAAGTAAGTTCGACAATTCTAGAATTAATTTGCCTAAAGCTAATCAAAGTAAACTGAAAAAAATTATAGAATATTATTTTCAGGGCTTTGAAATTCTATGGTATTAGAATGTTATTTCAATCTAGAACATTCTCTCTGATAGCATAAAGGTAACACCTAATTTTTTAAGAATATTATAGAATATTCTGTAAGAGAATAAAACTTAAAGGCATCGACCCTAACGTCCACACATACACCGTTGTGGTTGATGCCTTTTATAAGGAATGTGCTCAAATTATTATTGGTTTGATAATAAAAAGCAATATGAAGCCTAATAAAATTACGCACAGTGTTTTGATGAATTATTAGTATTTGATCGATAATGTTGATAATGACGCTAAATTAAAAAAACTGAAAGTAAGTTCGACAATTCTAGAATTAATTTGCCTAAAGCTAATCAAAGTAAAATGAAAAAAATTATAGAATATTATTTTCAGGGCTTTGAAATTCTATGGTATTAGAATGTTATTTCAATCTAGAACATTCTCTCTGATAGCATAAAGGTAACACCTAATTTTTTAAGAATATTATAGAATATTCTGTAAGAGAATAAAATTTAAAGGCATCGACCCTAACGTCCACACATACACCGTTGTGGTTGATGCCGTTTATAAGGAATGTGCTGAAATTATTATTGGTTTGATAATAAAAAGCAATATGAAGCCTAATAAAATTACGCACAGTGTTTTGATGAATTATTAGTATTTGATCGATAATGTTGATGATGACGCTAAATTAAAAAAACTGAAAGTAAGTTCGACAATTCTAGAATTAATTGGCCTAAAGCTAATCAAAGTAAAATGAAAAAAATTATAGAATATTATTTTCAGGGCTTTGAAATTCTATGATATTAGAATGTTATTTCAATCTAGAACATTCCCTCTGATACCATAAACGTAACACCTAATTTTTTTAATTAAAGTAAAATAGAAAAAAATTATAAAATATTATTTTGAGGGTTTTAAAATTTTATTGTATCAGAGTATTAGTTCAATCTAGAACATTCTCTCTGATAGCATAAAAGTAACACCTAATTTTTTTAGAATATTATAGAATATTCTGTAAGAGAATAAAACTTAAAGGCATCGACCCTAACGTCCACACATACACCGTTGTGGTTGATGCCCTTTATAAGGAATGTGCTGAAATTATTATTGGTTTGATAATAAAAAGCAATATGAAGCCTAATAAAATTACGCACAACATTTTGATAAATTATTAGTATTTGATCGATGATGTTGATGATGACGCTAAATTAAAAAAACTGAAAGTAAGTTCGACAATTCTAGAATTAATTGGCCTAAAGCTAATCAAAGTAAAATGAAAAAAATTATAGAATATTATTTTCAGGGCTTTGAAATTCTATGGTATTAGAATGTTATTTCAATCTAGAACATTCTCTCTGATAGCATAAAGGTAAC